CTTGGGGCTGGGTTCTGATAGGGGGCAGGTTATCAGCTATGGAAGGATCAAAAGCAGAGTCAGAGGGGTATGGAGGAAGGAGAGGGGCAGAGGCCCCTGGAGGTTCAGGATCTGGTGAGACTGTCTTAGCCAGGAGGACCTGGTGGGAAGACCATTTGACACAGAGGGAGGGATTAGCACGGAGGTCAAGAAAGGCGTGGATGTAGGGTAATTCAGACCGCTTGCCGTTAAGCTGGCAGAATTTTTCCAAATCTTTTAAAATATTGAGGTTTAAGGTTCCAGTGTTTGGGCAAACAGAGTTATTATCTAGTTTGTACTGAGGCCAGGAAGTGATGCACAAGAATTTTAGGCATTTTGATCTGATCGTGTCAGATAGTCCTAGCTTCTTTAAGGATCTAAGAAGGCCGGCCAAAGGCTTGAGACCCTGAGATTTTGAGTGCTTGGTTCCCATAGCAACGGATTATGTAAAAAGCAAAGAGGAGTTAAAGACCTTAGCTGGTGGGTAGGGGAACAAAGAGGATCTTTTGCCCTGAGGGGACAGAGGCGGAGTCAGGAGTCAGAGCTGCAAGGAGTAGCTTACAGAGAAGAGAGAGAGAAAGAGAGAGAGAGAGAGAGAGAGAGAGAGAGAGAGAGAGGGAAAGTGAGAGAGAGAGAAAGCAGTAAGAGAAAGGTTGGCTTAGGTTACGTAAAAACAAGAATGAGAAGAATCAGGCAACAAAAGAAAAGGGTCCTTTTTGTTGGGGAGGGGGGAAGCTGCTGCTGTTTAGAACCCTAATAATGAGGAAGGTGATCAAGGACACACCACTTCTGGGAACACATCCACACAGATTTTTCTCCACACAGCCAGATGCTCAGCCCACAGAGAAGGCCCTGGAGGGGTCATGCAGGGTGATTCCTGGAGCAAGGGAAAGAAGCCAGGATCTGATGATCTCTGGCTCCTCCCCAAGTGCCCTGCTAGGCATATGGACCCTGGAGACCCCCCCACAGGGTGCCAGGCCATCCCCTGCCCCAGCCCACCCCAAGCACATAGGACCCCTAGAGTGCTGACCAGCTGGCACCAGGCTACAGACCAGCTGGCGCCTGTCTGCCTGTGTAAACTGAATTTCAGTTTCCATTTCCTGAGTTCATCAGAGCTCTGGTTTTCAGCCCTCCCTCCAGAGAGCCTTCAGAGCCAACCCTGACATAGTGATAAGGATCTCAGGAAAATACTTTCCCTTGTCCTAGGCCTGGGGTGGAATTTGAGGTGTTCTGGGAGCCCAAGGGGAGGCTAGGCTGAGCCAAACTCCTACCTGGGGCTGGACTACAGGGGCTTTATGTGTGACAAGGAAGTAAGCATGGGCACTTGTCACCTTCCATTTGCACAGACCCACAAAAGGAAAGCAGCAGCCCAGGAGTGAGCCTCACACTGCATGCAGCAAATTACTATTTGTTCTCTTCTTAAAACAGAAAATGGTACAGCTCAGTGCAGGATGTTGATAAGAGGGAAATGGGACATGAAAAGGATGGGCTATAAAGGTCTCTGTACTTTCCACTCAATTTTCCTGTTATTTTAGAACAGGCTTTTTAAAAGGAAGATGTTGTTGCTTTTTTTTTACCTACTTGTCTTGTTTGTTTTTATTTTCTTCGCCTTGTTTTTTGAGACAGGTTCTCCCTGAAGCCCCAGCTGGCCTGGAACTTGCTATGCAGAGCAAGGTGGTTTTGATCTCACAGAGATTTATCTGCCACTGCCTCTGCCTCTGCCTCTGCCTTCCAAATGGCAGGATTAAGGACTTGTGACACTACATCTGGCACTTAACTCATGAGTGTTTTACTTTCTGTTTTGATTAAAATTTGGAAGAAAGCTATCTATTCATAACATGCAAGTATGGTAATGCTTCATTATGAGTTATTAAGAATTTTTCAACTTTTGATTAAAAAATTTTTCAGAAATAGGGGTTCTTTAAGTATACTAGTTACTTTTCTGTTGCTGTGATAGAACACCACAATCAAGACAACTTATAAAAGAAAGAGTTTATTTGACTTACGGTTTCAGAGGGAGATTCATAATGGTGCGAAGGCACAGCAGGAGGCAGCTGGAGCCGAAGGTTGAGCACACCCATCTTCAAGCACAAGCAGGAAACAGAGAGGCAGAGCAAGTGTACCAGGGCTAAGAACGCTGACAGGCTGCTCTCAAAACAGGGCCTCAGTGATTTGCTGCTCCAGCAAGGCCACACCTCCTCAAAGTTAGCAAATGCCAAGAGCTGGTGACCAAGTATTCAAATACTTAGTTGGAGCCAATGGGAGACATTTCTCATCCAAACAACTACATTAAAGGTTTCAGGTGATCTCTTTCCTCTTCCCATCCCCATCCCTACCAACTACCCCAAACCTCCCTGTTAAGGTTCAGATATGCCCGCCCCCTCACCAACAGGGTCTTGAGGAGTTCTCAAGCTCCTGAGAAAAGGGAACTGAGTTGATAAGCACCTTGGTCTTTGAAGTCAAGAGAAGCAGACTTTTCTCCATTGTTTGGCCAACACAGCAGGCTTCCCCTTTGATCTCTAAAGAGAACAGGTTTTAACAGTCCCGCTCTCCCACTTCCCCCCCCAACTTTAAAAAAAGTACATTTTCCCACCTTCTGCAGGAAGCAGAAGCCTCCCCCTTAAAAAGACCCCAGCTCACAACCCGGGGCAGGCATTTTTCCTGCTGGGAAGGGAATCTGTCCCATGTGTTCCTTTGCTAATAAACTCTGCTTTCTCCTGATCAACCCTATTTGTCATATGGCTACTTTTTATCTATCACTCCCTACTTAGTAGGAAGGTTGAGGGAGGGAATGGGGCTGAGAGGGCAGGTAAAGGGAAGACCTAGGTCATCTTCATCCACCTAGGACTGCTTAGATCCTGTGCATGTCATTTCTCTGCAGAGCTCGTGGCAAAGGAGAAATGAGAGTGGTGAATGGAATGGAATTCTCTTAAAATAAGTATCTGGGTAGCTATGCCTATGCTCAAGGACCCTTCGAAAAGAAAAATGAAAGGAAGGCCTGAGTTTGAGTGCGACATATGGCTATGAAGGAATCCTTTCTGTTTCTTTTTTGAAACTCCAAAGGATGTCAGAATTCTCATGCCAAGACCCTGCATGCTGACCATGCTCCTCAGGTGTATCACCACAGGAAAGGCCATGCCAGTCCCTGTCTGTGGTCTTCAGGCAAAATAAAAAGTAAACAAGCACAAGCTGGTCCTTCCTAGAACCCTGTGTGCTCAGCATTCTGCCCTCAGATGAAAGGCAGCTCCACCTCCTGCATTATCGTCCTCTGTGCGTAAGGATGAGGACATGAAAAAGTGTGAGCCTAAGAAGACTTTGTGTGTATGTGTGTCTGTCTGTCTCTGTGTCTCTGTGTGTCTGTGTGTATGTGTATATGCCTGTGTATATTTTCTGTGTATGTCTGTGTGTATGTGTGTATGTCTGTGTATATTGTCTGTGTATGTCTGTGTGCATGTGTGTATGTCTGTGTATATTGTCTGTGTATGTCTGTGTGTTTGTGTATAGGACAAAGGTGACACTGAGTTTGTCTTCCTTAGTCTCACTCTGTCTTGTTTTTGTTTTTTGAGACAGGTCTCTCACTGAACCTGGAGCTCACCTATTCAGCTAGGCTGACTACCCAGCAATTCCCAAGGATCCCAGCCCTGAGTTTACAAGCAGATGTTTGTAACCATGCCCAGCTTTTTTAAATAGGTTCCAAAGGTTCAAATTCATAACCTCATGCTTGTGTGGCAAACACTTTACTGACTGAGCCATCTCTCCAATCCACTAAGGAAATTTTTAGACAAACATATGGAATATGTTATTCACCTTTTGAATGAAATAGCTGTTTATAATGGCTGTTGGAAATGCTTACAGGAACTAGCTCCATTCTGTGTTACCAACTTAGTGAACACATTGCAAAATTTGTGTGAAACATAGTAGCTTATGTGAAATGCTAGGTGGTGACACTGTGATAAAGGACTTACTGTCAGGGTGTAGAGGTACACAGCTTTAATTCAACCCTTGAGAAGTGGAGGCAGGAAGATCAGGAGTTCAAGTATATACGATACCATCTCAACAAACCAAGAAGGCACCCACCATCTCTGTTATGTTAGGACTCTTGTGAACTCCCCAGATCTGGGAGCTTTCCTAGAATTGCATTGGTTAATGCATCTTTCAACTTTTAGCAGAAAAGCCTCTTTATACACAAGTGGTGATTAAGAGGGAAATCACAACTACCCAACATGCTGAGAATGAGGCTACAGAGTGCTTATCCCTGAGGAGGACATCTAGACCAAACTTTTGCCCCTCAAGGCTCAGAAATCATTGTGGAAGAAGGATTGTAAGAGTCAAAGGTGGTGGGTGGCCAAAAGGAAACAGAGTAAACTCAAGCCAGACAAATCCCAGTATGGACATGGGGAAGTGGGTAAGCAATACCAATATCATGTACATACACACACACACACACACACATATATATATACTTACACTTCAGTATTGCTGTCCATAAGTCACATGTCCTTTGTTGTATGAACTGTTCAGTGCTCTGTAGGACACTTGGACACATCCCTTGCCCTCTACCTGCTAGAGGCCACTAGAGCTTTC